GTTGCGCTGAGAGCTTTTAGAGCCGTTGATTCTGGATAATAGAGTGTTCAAATTTAGCACCCCTCCGTTTTTTATCGCTCTCATACGCATGAGTGTTCACGTTGCTTCCTTGTATTGCCGGGGTCAAACGGTCAGTGTCCTCGAGCGCGCTGGTGGCAGCATACTGTACATTCCACATCGAACAGTGGCTCAGGCTTTGGTCCAAGTACAGAAAAAATAGGTTTAGGTTAAACTGTGACAGCCTGTCAATAAACCCAGTTCGCGCAGTCCCTGTTCTGAGGTGAGCTCACGTGGATAGAAACACACGAACGAATCTGACCAGCACAACAATACCGGGAAGATTTGAATACAACACCCCAGAAACGAACCTATCTTAGTGGCCATTTTTGTCGCACAGCGCCTGTAAGTTCGGACGCATCATCGCCTTTTTTACTCTTGAAAAGTACCCTAAAAGTAGTTTGAACTAAGTAACGCTGAAGTTGCGGCTCTCAAAGTAATGATAACGTATCCCTTGATTAAGTAACTCTACGCAAAGTTACTTTTGCGCACGTTTCGCATTTCAAAGATTAAAAAAGCAACCCTAAAAGGGCTCAGAGACTGCAGATCGCTCACAACGCCCGGAACCCACCGCTTGACCATCCAGGCCACAGCGCCTTTGAGCTGCGTTTTTCCCGGGTGATGTGATCGAGCATTACTCGCGCCGCTTTGTCACCGGCGACGCACGCGACCACAGATTCGCCTTCGTACTCACAATCGACGGTACCTCCGGAAATGCGCTGCTGGTGTCCCTCGACGCTGGAGAGGCCCTGCCCCTCACAAACTTTATGAGATGAAACGAGACGTGCGCGGAAATGACGTGGATCTTAGCGAAGTGAAGTGGCGGACCCTTCGGTCGTACCAATTAGCGGTCGGGTGCGTCCGACACCCCACCATGGCAACTCCCCCGTGTAAGGAGCTGACTGCGGCTGCAGTGATGCTAGCTGCGACAGAGGGTCTTTCACTGAGCTCCGAGCTCCGAGGCTTCTATTGAAAACGACCCAATTTAAGCTGCTGAATGCAACATTGACAATCAGTCCAGAACTCTCAAAACTTCCGAAAGCCCGAAAGAACATGATGCGATTGTCAAATCTTCGTGTATTACACGTGTTACAATCGAGGAAGCTGCAATACTGACTGGGAATGGTGCCACAGCTCCTGTGATTGATCTTACCGACAAGGTTTTCTCAGACCTTGTAGGTACGGATATCCGGTCTGTGTTTGCTACCGAAGACGCTTTAGGCTCAGGCTCGAACAAAGCGGAGCGGATCCTGCTGTACATACTGCGGAGGAGCTAGAGAATAGGCAAGCGCCCAATCAAACTCCTACTGATGCTATTGGAGGCTGAGAAATACGTGAAGACTATATCTACTCGCTGGATGCGAACCAAAAACCGACACCAAGCAAAGAAACGCGCTGGCGTGTGGAGCGTTTCTCGCTCACGAAAGCGTCGCCATACGGCCAAGTGTGGGTTTACTAACAGTGATACATGTATCTACCATGCACAATTCACTGAAGGCTCGTAAGGTTCAGGCGGTTTTATCGCTCCCTGGTGTGCTCGAGTGCTTATGCGAGCTTCGCATACATCGACTTATCTATGTAGGGCCTCTTGTAGACACTGGCTACGAGCCTGACGAAGTCGCCTGGTCTAAGGCCGTATTGGATATTACTGAGTGCCTGAATCCTGATAGGATTCGTTTAAGGACGTCGGATACTTAGGAGCCTGCGGATGCAATGGAGTATGTTTTATGGATGATTGTGCGAGCGAAGCCTTTACCGTATATTGCACTCCGGAATCATGCCAACCGGACGCCAATTGCAGTAACGCCCCTAGATCGAGAAGCACACTGAAGCCTTTCGACGGTGGACGTGTGGAGATTGGAGTGCTCATTACTACAGCCGCAGACGTCAATGCCATTGTGGACGAATACGCAGTTGATCTATGTGCATACGAAGAGCAGCGTACTGGTCAACCTGCTCAGGCTCTCAAATATAACAGTGGATACACTATGTTCTTTCATACGCTGTCGACGAAGAAACACTTTGTGTACGTGGAGGCAGTTAAATAGGGCGCTATAACCCGCCTTATTAGCCATGCAGGCGAGCCGAATGCGGATCTCGTTGAGCTGCACAACAGGACAAGCGTGAAGGTGCTGTACGGGTGATACAGAACTAGACAACTGGAGCACATAATACGGTGTATTACGAGAACAAGACTAGGTGTAAAGGCGCTTGTAATAGGTGCTCGAAGTGCAACGAGGATGAATACAGAATGGAAGCTTGGATCAAAGGCGTAACAAGCGCTTTTAATACATTTTCACCTGAACAGCTGGTTAATTTGATATAGCTGTATTGTGAGATATATTATTAGCTTCGTTTGTCTGATACTTCTACATGTTTTCCTGAAGCAAAAGGAAGAGAGAACGATGACAATACATATGTTGAATCTGTACTATTATGTATCGACGTGGTCGTACATATGAGGACGTATCGATTGTAAGCAAACCAGTCTCTAGTAAAGCCTCGGTAAATATAGTGCACTTTCAGGCTCCGGAAATGGCGCTTTCGTTTGATTCTAGAGGCCCAACACATCGTCACGTAAGACAAAGCATGGTGTATCTGTGCATATTAATATTACGCAATATCCTCGCATACGTTTGATGTGAAGAGGAAGTTTGGAGACAATTGTATCATTATGACCGCATTAAAACATTTTCTCGTTTTCTGAACGTGATTTAGTCCATTTCCTCATTCTCAACAGTAATACCAGCACCTACGCTGCCTCTTCAACATGTCGGCCAGTGCGACTGGAAAGTCGTCGGAGGTCTGGGTTTCTACAAAGTTAGTGCGGCCCTTCCAAGGTGGGTCGATCTAGAGCGCAGTAGCATCTTCAGCTCCACATTTTCGTTTGTTTCTGCTCACTAGCACACCTCGTTCGGGCTGTTACCCCATGTCTGACTATCCACCTCTTTCCGAGCGTAGTTAGCACTCATTTGTGCTGATACAGCTGGGTTGACCTCGGTGTGCTTGTAGGACGCAACGCTCACCCACTTAGCAAGCTGGGGTATCTCGTACACCAGCGTGGGGCCTCCAACATGCGCTTGCCGAGGTTCAATGCCATTCCAAACACCAATCAGGCGGGATTTCATCATTTCGATGCTCTACGTGTGAGGGATCCCGAAACACTTATTTCGAAGATGAATTCCCGTGTAGATGAAGATAGGTCGTGGCAACACGCCGCTAGTTCTTGTACAAGAGTGGCCATTTTAAGCCGATGTCGGAGAGTGTAAGCTCTCTTCATCAAAGCGTTGAACATTTCAGCTGGGTTGTTGATCGACGCGAACCTACGTGGCGTCACGTATCGCTGCCACTTACAGTATCTACTAAAGAGCCACTGGTCTCGCTTATAGTGAGCGAAGCCAAGTAAAAATGGTTAGTTCATCAATACCAGGAAACATCCGTCCGTTGAACTTCATTTCGCTTCGAGAGAAGCGCAAATCGTACACAGACCTCACCAGTGAGGCCGATACAACCCTTAATAGGCTTCTGGACATTTTCCATCACATGAAAATAACACATTAGGAATTGAAAGCCCGGGTAATTTCCGAAGATAACATGCAGCGCATTGTACTGGGTTTTGTCCGCGTCAGCTATAGCGTAACGGATTATAAGCTCCTTTTGTGCGACGTAGTAGTACTGTCGGCGAAGCGAAGGAGAACAGACTCGAAACGGATTGAGTATCTTGCGAGACGATGAACAGCTCCACCAAATGAACCCACGTGAGCGGTCAGACACTCCCCCGACGACTACGGGATATCCGCGGTGATTGGCCTTGGTGGCATCGATGTGTAGGATGAAGTTCTCAGCTAATAGGTGCATACGCATGATTAAAGTCTTCGTCGAGGTCCCCACAACAAAAGGGCCTGGTCCGATCCGCTCTCCACTACGGTCTTTTCCGTATCTGTCCAACTGCCACCCGAAAGTGAACGCCTGGTTGATGGCCTCATGTACAGTGAATGTCCTCGCATGCACCTACCCATGGATCTCACCAACGCGGTCATGATTGTGCAAATATGTTCTACTGTAGTGGTCTACAAAGTTCTGGGACACTTGCAGCTTTGGAAGGTCTTCCAGCGGAGTATCGAGCCTCCGCGACAGAGCACGACGGATGCACAGAGGACATAGATGGTTTGTGGCTATCTCGCGAGAGAATAGCTTCTGCGCCTTTGTCATTTTCTTTTTTTTGTTTGGTGAAGCTGCCATGTTCAAATGCACACCGTAGTCGTAGATTGATATTCGGTTAGTGGCTAGGCACGGCAGCAGCTTAACGCGCCAGCCATACTCACCTTCAAAACAGTCGCCGCAGGTTTCTAAAATACACTTCAGAACCCTATAGCGCATCCTGTCCGGAGCCGCTCCACTGCGTGCACACCATTTGATTGACCTTCCCAACGCCGAACGACGTGAGACAATCGAGTACTATGTGCAGCGGGGATGCCGTAGCTTTATCGTAAGAGGAAGACGCTCGACCCAAAGAGTCCCTAATACTAAGTTCTTTATCCAAAGGAACTTACAGCCCAAGACCAGGGTCAAAGTTAATACCTTAACGTTTATGCTTCAAAATGAGAAGTCTTTTATTTACTATTATTGCGGCCAAGCCACCTAGGGGTAAATGTATCTGTTTAAATATCTAGCATAGTTAAACCTAATCAAATGCATAACGTGTGGCTTTCAGCCAACATACTGAAAGACCTTGTTAACTCTCTAATTTATGCCCTGAGAGTTTGTTAAGTCTCCGGATACTTCGTACCACTGTGTGCTCTACACCATGTAACCCGGTTACACTGAGTCTCGATCGCCCACCCTGACGGCGATGATGAGGTTTTATATTTGACTTGACTTTGACCAAAAATCAAACACACACTCACCCCAGGTTTTTAGCATAGAACACGTAAGAAGCAAGCATGGACAAGCTGTTGGAGTACAAGGAGAAGATCTCGGCCAAGCTGGAGCGGTATGACAAGATCGTGGAGCTGGAGAAGCAGACGGGTGTGGACAAGTTCTACATCTTCTGCGTCGGTGCGCTGCTAGCGGGCATCCTGCTGTTCGTTGTGGGCGGCGAGGAGCTGGTGGTGGGCCTGGTGGGCTTTATCTACCCGGCTTACATGTCGTTCAAGGCCATTAACACGCCAGGCACCACCGACGACACGCAGTGGCTCACTTACTGGGTTGTCTACTCCTTCTTCAACCTCACTGAGTCCATCACGGACCTCGTCCTGTCTTGGGTCCCCTTCTACTTCTTCATTAAGATCGCCTTCCTTGTCTGGTCCTACCACCCGAGCACCCAGGTACGACAGCAGTTATATCTAATGTCTTTTCATGACTGCAACATAATTCTAACGGT